GCAAGAGAGTTCGTGGGGCAATACCAGGCGGGATTCATTGGTGCCCGCGCTACCACGGACCAAATTTTCGCGATTCGGCAGGTTCTGCAGAAATGCCGCAAATACAACGTGCCCACACATCATTTGTTCATCGATTTCAAATCCGCATACGACACAATCGATCGAGATCAGCTATGGCAGATTATGCACGAGAACGGACTTCCGGATAAACTGACGCGATTGGTCAAGGCGACGATGGATCGAGTGATGTGCGTTGTTCGAGTATCGGGGACACTCTCGAGTCCCTTTGAATCTCAAAGGGGGTTACGGCAAGCTGATGGACTTTCGTGTCTACTGTTCAACATCGCGTTAGAAGGTGTGATCAGAAGAGCTGGGATAGACACGAGTGGCACGATATTCAGGAAGTCCATCCAGCTCCTTGGTTTCGCCGATGACATTGACATTATGGCACGGAACTTTGAGATGATGGCGGAAACGTACATCAGACTGAAGGCTGAAGCTAGACGGATTGGACTGGCCATCAACGCATCAAAGACAAAATACATGAAAGGAAGAGGTTCTAGGGAAGACAATGTTAGCCTCCCACCCCGAATTCAGATTGACGGTGACGAAATCGAGGTAGTCGATGAGTTCATGTATTTTGGCTCACTGGTGACCGCTGAAAATGATACCAGCAGAGAAATTCAAAGACGCATTATGGTAGGGAATCGTGCCTACTTTGGACTCCGGAGGACGCTCCGGTCGAATAAAATTCGCCGCCGCACGAAGTTGACTGTCTACAAGACGCTGATTGGACCGGTCGTCCTTTACGGCCACGAGACCTGGACAATGCTCGTGGTTTCGAACGGAAGATATTGCGTACCATCTACGGAGGAGTGCAGATGGAAGACGGAACGTGGAGGAGGCGAATGAACCATGAATTGCACCAGCTGCTGGGAGAACCATCCATCGTCCACATCGCAAAAATTGGGCGACTACGGTGGGCTGGGCACGTCGTAAGAATGCCGCACGACGACCTAGTGAAAATGGTTCTAGAAAGCGACCCAACAGGAACAAGAAGAAGAGGCGCGCAGTGGGCGGATCGACCAAGTAGAAGGTGACCTGCGGACCCTTCGCAGACTACGAGGCTGGCGAAGTGTGGCCATGGATCGAGTAGAGTGGAGACGACTTCTTCGGACAGCAGAGGACAACAACGCCTTAGTCTGATTGGTAAGGTAAGTCATCCAGAAAGTTTCATTAAAACCTGAGAGGGTACTGACGCTCCGAATACGATTTGGCGCGGAATGCGTCTTGTGTGAAAAAAAAAAGCAAATGTCCTCCAAACATTTGTTAAACTAAATTGGAACAATTTTTGTTAAAATTAAAGTTGAAAACGTAATTTTAACAAATTATGTTAGCCTATAAATAGAAGGAAAAATTGAACTTGAATAATAATTTGACTTGTAGGGTAAATGGCTCTAATGTTGGCCCATGGAGCTAAGATTGGGTCCATCGCTATAAATCTGCTATTTATCAATTTTATCAATATGCACTAGGGTGGGACAAAATTCAAATTCCAATTCCAGTATGATTTCCGGGGTCCTTCTGGGTCCTAGAATAACTGTGTAAAATTTCAGGTCGGTCGGTGGAACTATATTTTAGCGCCAGCGGTTTAAATTTTACATAGGATTTTCTATGGGAAAACATACATTTTCAAATAAAAATCTGGTGATGTCACCCATTATCCTCTAAAAATAAACCAACCCAATTTTTCGCTAGGAAATTTTACAAGAAAACTTTTCTTAGAAGACCGCAAAACGATCCGAGGCTTGTGGAAAAAGTTATTTAGCCATTACTGATTGCTAACCAAATGAACTGCTCATTATTCTTTTTTTCTAGTCAGCTCTGCCAGCTGCCGCCTGCTGCTGTCTGCGCGAGGCAGTCACGTTGTGTGGGGGTTCACTCAGCATGGAGGAAAGCCGATATCATGCGCAAAGAATCTTCGATTTTGTTGAAACTTTACACAGGTTTCCGGTAAAGTACAACAATTATGTTTCACGGGGGTCATTTTGAAACAAGCGTGATTTTTCACAAGGGTGTATTTGCTTTGGCGCACAATTTATTCAAACCTTATCAGTCGATGTGCTGCTGCTCAGACTTCAATATTTCATCGGCTTCATTTTTCGGTGTTACTCCACAACTTGCAGTACACACTTAATTCAGATCACCAAAGTCGCAAAGTTTGTGGTTCGAGTCCACAGTCGGCAATCTGATTCCTATTTTTTTCGACATAACTAATTTACCTCACTAATACACTCTACATTTTTCGGTCTCCAATTTTCTTGCATTGGACCGCAGCTAGCTATATCGCATCCTCGGTTCATGCGGTCTCCATTAGCATCCTCTGATGATGAATCCCACATAATTGTAAGCGAATCTTACATCCCCCGGTTGGGTGTACGCAGCTGTTTTGGGCTTCCAGTCGACGGGGGGATTTCAGATTCGGTGGCTAAAGGGCCTTTGTGTAACTACTGCGAGTGTCTCACAACGGTCGAGTGAAGTTTTTAACGTTAATCTGAACGGTCTTTAGTTAAGGTCCAACGGTTCACAAAGAAATTTTCGGCGTTTTATTAAGCCACACACTGACCGTTCCTGCACTCGTGTCGTACTAGTACGAATAACACTTGTGTTCCGAACTGTGGACCACGAAAAACGGCTCACCATATTATTACTCTACTCGACGGATCGACCAGCTCTTGGCGAGCATATGGTGACGCTAGACTATCACAATTTCGATCTCTAAGATCAGAAAAATAGCACTTAACTTTAACTCGAAACGCTTTGTCACGAGTAACGGGTGACATGCCACGATCTTCACTACTCCGGGCGATTGTCTATTAAAAGCGTGTCACTATGTGCCCAGAATCCTTTTGAAGATTTTCTGGAACAGCGACACATCAATGGCAACCCCTACACAATAGCCACGCACGTGGGCTCCTACATAACTCAGCGTCGGTGGTGATGACAGCAGCAACAAACAATTTTATTTGAGAAGGTTGGTATTAAGGCTCCTCAAAATTTGAATTTATTTTTTTATAGCAAGATAATCGAATTGCTTGTTTTCCTTGTATTGAATATAAATTTACTTTAATAGAATTAATTAAACAAAAACGAAAATAACTTTAATAAATTACTGAAAAATAAATATTTACAAAGCCGAAAAATAATACTAACCTTTGGCTTATAATCACTCAATATTTATCACTCAAACGCATAACGTGGAGTACGCAAATGCTGATATTTTATGTTTAAACATTTACTAACAATATAATATTTACAATATGTACATTTTACAGTGTTCACTCGGCTGTCGACAAAAGCAGGCCACTCTCGATGTGTGCTACGCGATCGTCTGTTTTCTCGGCAGCAACCATTGTGTGGTCCTCCTCATTGTTCTTCATCAGCAGTTCTTTCGGTCGATGCGTCGTCGACTTTGGAAAGCAACCGTTTCGTGATGAGTGTGTGAGTGCTGACCACGTTTTGCGTCCATTGCTGCAATGGACGCACTCTGACCCTCGTTGGCGTACAACAATTTGCCATACAATGAACCTACTGGAAGCGGCTCCAGTTCTGATGGAGGAGGCTTTTTGGATAGCGGAAGATAAAGTGTTTATTGTGTTGTACCTTTTGACTATAGTTTTAAGATGTATTGTATAGTGACCAAGAATCCTCGGCTCTGCAAAGTTAATTCGGTTGAGCCTTATCAAATAAATAAATTAATAAGCTAATGTACATTTTAATAAATTATGCTGCCCCAGAAATCAAAGAAATATTGTAACCGTGCAAGCCTTAGTTACATGCTAGATGCAGGCTTGCTTCCACTCACTTGCTATAAAACATTGTTTTTCGGAATTATGAAATCATTAGACGTTATAATGATAATTTATACTTGAAAGTTATAAAAAGAGGTTGTAAAGGATGTGTTTGATTTGTGAAATCTCTCAATGCTGCATTCAGAGCATCACAATTAGCAATTTGGAGATTCGTGAGCGCTCACTCTGAGTGAACGCTCACGAATCATAAAATCGATTACTGTGACGCTCTGAAAGTAAAATTGATAGATTTCATGTGTCAAACACTTACTTTACGACCTCTTCTTGTAACTTACTAGTACAACATATCATTATAACATTTAACGATTTCAAAATTCCAAAACCCTAGTTTTTATAGCAAATGAGTAGAAGCAACGCACTATTGGAGGCGAACCAGCCCCAGGCTGAAAGCCTCCCTAATAAAGATAAATTTATAAATTAATTAATTAGAAGCAACCCTGAGATGTGCTGAACAATTAAAAATAATCATCCTACAAAAAATAAGAAAACGTACAATAGCACCAATAAAAAGACCGAAATGGATCGGATAACTGACAGGAAGCGATCAACTCAGGATTTCACTTGGCGTAGATTCATCCCCACTAGCTAAAATTACCCCGAATTGAATTACTCATTAAACCTAATTGATTAAAAATTCATTAAGAACCACTCGAAACTTTCCGCCCCGTGTCACCAAAACTGTAATGAAAATTCTCTTCGTTACACATCCTGATTTAAGTGGGGAAAAGTTAAAACCGAAAGCCAATTGCGTATAATGCGTCGCAATTCGATTATCCCCTCCCCCACCGGAAAATTCCTGATGGATAATTGAATCAAGCAGCAAGCCTTACTCGCACAACAAGGACAACAGGCACAGGTAGCCAGCTGGAAACTTATCCTGCTTCCCCTCCGACGTGGTGAGGTCACAATTTGAGGCCATATTATTTCCCTCGATTGGTTTTTCTCTTTCAATTCGGCCGAAATCTATGGGAAGCCAATTTCCAATCGTTTGTTACCCCCCACGCAGTGTTGTTTTGGCGAAGCTACTTTTTGTCCGCCCATGACAGGTTGTCGCACCAAAATCAATCGGTATTGAATAAGTTTCTGATGTTTTTTTCTTCTTTTCTTGCGTTCTCTTTTTTTACACAGAATTCCTTCACGGAACGATAAAGCACATTGATATGTCACGAACATTCATACACAACGTGGACGACGAGACGTTCCAGGGGCTGCGGCTCGAGTCGCTGAAGCTGGTCGATAACAAGATTCAGGACATTTCCGAGAAGAGTTTCAAGTAAGTAGGAGTCCAAACAGCGGTGGTCCTTTGTGGTGGAAAATGGGATTTTTTTATTTTTTATTTTAAGAGGTGGTATTTTGAACATAAAAGCATAATTGTCCCATTACAGTTTGATTTCCTATTATTATGGGGTGGTTATGATTTTATGGGAAGCATTGGTAAAAAAAATACTGGAGTTTTATGTTTGTACAGAGAACTGGACACCAAAGCAAGTTATTATTTATTTTTATCGTCACTTGAGAATTTCTAAAGGGACAAAATTTGATTCCATTCTGTACATCAGACTTGTCCCCACTATCATGTGATCAATAATTATAATTTAACCCATTTAAATTACTCATATACCTCATTAGCAGAATTCCAATTCAGCTTTTTTTTGCGCAACATGTCACCACAATGCACAATGACGCAAAATCCATGATTGAAAATTCCTAGAATTCTACCACAGCAGTTAATCAAGATTTACCTGTACGTCGGTCAAGGCTCAGAGAAACTTTCCACGACTACGGTGACTGCACTAGTTGGGGCCTTTTGAGCGGAAAGAAAAATTTAACTTTTTTTTCCCTTCTTGGTCGTCATCGTCGCTGCAAACGGAAGTCACCTACCTGAATAGAACCACACAGTAGGTGCACCCTCTACGAAAACGACAACGACGACGACGACTTGAGAATGATTGATGACCGGGCGCTGCGCTGTGCTGCGCTGGTCGGCTGGCTTCACCCGTCAGTCCCCACGCTGCAGATGGATTCTCTTGAGGGGTTCCGTGGGCTTGTTCTGATGGTGATAAATTGAAAGGTTGTTGTATGGTTGCCTACATTGGGTCCGGCTTTTTGTGAACGTGGTTCTAAGATTCATCAATGTACCTCTTTTGCACCGGAACATGGAAAAAGGAAGCTTGAGTTCTTTTTTTTCCTCGCTAGCCGCTCAACCATAAATGCCAGTGGGTTGAAAATTCAATGGAATGCTTTCGGTCCATTTGGTTGGTTGCTGATTGTGGGGTTTTGTAGCCAACCTGATTTCAGCAGCAACGAGTCTGGGTTTGGCTCTCATTCCAACGATGAGGGAGTCTTGCCGAGCAATCATGGGCTGCTAATTTTATTTCGAATTCATTTGGCCTTTATTGAAATTATTTTTTACGGATTTATATCTGTTGTTGGTTGTTTGGCGAAGCTGTGGATCTATGTGATTCGCTGTGTTACCCAACGCTTTTTTCTCGCTCATATTTCCATTAACTCAACATGTGCGCAAAATTTCAAAAAATTCAGGGACCCTTCAGCCCAAACCTGTTCGATAATAATAATAAATTCCCAAATGTTGCAAAAGAAAACGAAAAGATTACTGCACTAGACGTCGAAGATGACATGCGGTGTGCTTTGTCAACCTCCAAAAATCAACTCTCCGTTACTCGCGCTGTTGTACTTTGTACAACACACATGAGTTTTCCATTGCCATTTTGCAGCCGAGATACGAATCGTTCTGAAACCAACGAGTATTACTCAAAAAACCTGTTTTGATCTAAACAAGCTAAACTTTGATTACAGTAAACACCTAAAAAAATTTAGGTGGATTTATGTTTTTATCGATGAAATCTACGTAATTATCGCGGTACCATTGGATGACTTCCTGGCTGTAGTGGCAACTCGCCAAATCTGGAAAAAAAAAACTTCACGGGACCTTTATGGGCTTTAATGAAAGGTAGTACGCGGTTTTTGAGACATTCTTCCTTGTACAGCTTCGAGTCCATCGTCTTATTCGTCACGAACACTTTGGTCTTTGCTCCGCAGCTGCATATCCCTTGCCAAATCATCAGTTTTTTTTTGGCAAATTTGTCCATAAAAGCAAACTTAAACTTCGCAGGAACATCTCCTCGTGCCGTCGCCATGTATAATTTTTTGGGCAGGAAGCTGTCCGAAATCCATTTTGACGTAGGTTTCAGCGTCGATGAGCAGGCATCCTTGGTACTTCGTCAAAACCTGCTGGTAAAATTTCCGAGCCTGAGTTTTGGTGACGAAACTTTGCTTCAACGTTCTGTTTGGTTGCTTGCTGGCTCGATAAGGACGATATCCTGCTCGCAAACGAATTCTTCGAACGGTACTGCGAGCAGCAGCGTATTTTTGTGCGATTTCATTATCTGATAGTCCAGGGTTTGCTCTGACGGTTCTCAACACCTTCTGGTTCAGCTTGCGGTCATATGTTCCACAACGACGCTTACCTTGAGGCACTCGATCTACGCTCTTTCGCTCCCTGAAACATTTGAGCACATCATACACGGTTGATTTGGCGTGGGTGTGCAGAATTTTTTCTCTCCTCTCGGCTTTCATCTGGAATAATTTTTGACTCACTGCACTAAACACCGTGAAATTTATACCACAGAAAGTAAGCGCCTAGCTAAACAAACCGCTGTAAAATAATTCTTGCAGCGGTCACTTTTCATGCCACTGCAACACAAGAAGTGATTCCGGATTGTAACTGGACAGAACTTTACTGTCTTTCACAAAGTTTTTCAGGAGATCAAAGCCTGTTGCTTGGTGCTCAATGATTCAGAATTTCAGTATACTCGAGAAATCCTCATATAAAATATCTCAAATTCCCAACCAGATAGAAAGGTACTGTCTTCGGCATAGTTTTTCAGGAGATCAAGGCCTTTTCGCAGGTGGACAGTACTTCAGAGTTTTCTCACTTTGCGAAAATGTGAAATTCTCGCATATAAAATATCTCTAGATCCAGATAGAAAGTAAATGTATTCGGCATAGTTTTTCAGGAAGTCAAGATCTTTTTGTTGGGTGACAATAGTTCAGAATTTGCTCTAGTATATACGTGCCTTTCTCGTATATTTGGCTCGAGATCTTGATCAGCTATAAAGTAGCTGTCTTCGGCAAAGTTGTCTTTTTGGTTGGTAGTCAGTAGCTAAGAATTTTCTCACCACGTGGCAAGTTTTTCGCTGAGATCCAGCAAAATAAAATACCGTGCTGCTCGGTGGTGCCCATCTCGGCAAATAATCTAAGTGTGTAGGTACATCCAAAGTCATAAAGAAAAGGCCTGATAATATGTAATTATCATCTCTTTCATTATACCGCTATTCCTGCACTGCTGGAAGTGTGACTTCGAATTTATAGTTACATACAACTTATCCTAAATCTAAACGAGAAGAATCTACTCGGTTCGTCTAAAATGTGTAATGTAATGTAAAATGTATAAAATATATACACACGAGTTAGCCAGGCGAGCCATAGGACTATCTCAGTCGTGAGATTTTTTTACTCGGTTGTCTGGAGAAATTTCCAAAAGCGTAGTTCACTTATCGCTGAGTAACCTACACTCCCGATTAAAAGCTTAAATACACCCCCAAAATACATGTAAATGTGTTTTTTTCAAAGCTCTCTCAGTTTACGTCCAATTTTTTGATCTCCTTAGGTTATTTGAATGGTATGAATGGTATAGCATATGGGTTCTACTACTACTACTTTTAATTTCAAATTTTTTTCAACTCAACTCTGAGAAAATCAATCATGATTCTTCAGAGAAAATTTTGAAAAATAGTGTAACTTTGGGTGAACCTTTGGTATACAAAATTTGAAATTATATTGAGCGATATGACTCTTCATATTTCGATTCAAAATCTTTCAATTGTTCTAAAAAGAACGAAAATTGGACGTAAAATGACAAAGATATGAACATAACACATTAGCATGTTTTTTGGGAGTGTCCTTAAACTTATAATCGGGAGTGTACGGTTTGATACATTTCTTCATTCAACTAAGCAAAAGTGCCTCACTCTCTGAGTTAGTCTCGTTGTCCGTGCACACGTAAATACAGGGATTAGCCTAAAATGAAAGGGAGACTCTAAACATTCATTTGGTGGATTTTTCAGCGATATTGATCTTTTAAAATAATGTTTTCCGTTTATTTATCAGAGGTATACAAGTGGAACGACTCACCCCAATTTAAGTATCCAATCGTTTTGCCAACCTTGTTGTGCGCCCACCTTTGCGAGAGAGTCTGCCCTCTCATTGCCTGGGATTGAGCAATGTGAGAGGACCCATACAAAGGTAATCATATATGATCTTTCGACCAGCAAACTCATCTGCTCCCTTACCTTTGAAAGGAAATAAGATGAGTGCGTACCTTGTTTCATCGACCGAATAGCCTCAATCGAACTGAGACTATCCGAGAAGATGAAGTAATGGTCTATGGGCATATCGGAAATCATCCCCAATGCGAAGTTGATTGCTGCTAGCTCAGCAACATAAACGGAACAAGGTTCCTGAAGTTTCCGAAAGGCGGTTGAGTATTCATTGAAGACGCCGAAGCCAGTGGATCCATCAATGCGTGATCCATCAGTGAAAAATCTTCTATTGCAATTGACTTGTTCACTGCGTCCTAGCAAGAAGTACGGTCGACTTATTTCGCGCTCCGTTAATTTGGAAGTTTTCTCGCTATTATCTGACGTAAATAATCAGTTTTTTCTCGCTTAGTGATTCCTGGCATAATTCCCGATAAATTTATCAAAAAGTGAGTTTTTTTTTCTGAGAAGAAAGTGTGTTTTCGGCATCATCGGAAGGAAAATTGTTTTTGCGATTGCCAATTCGCCAACCATTTTGCGCACCATCGGTGCGTGGTCACGCATACCTGTGCACACGGATCATCGTCATCGAGCGTCAGCATCTGCCTCCACATTCAAACCGCTCATCCATCTCGTGTGTTCAGCTGAGTGCCGAGCTTCATACAAGCACACACCAACGAAGACCGCCCGCACACGCGGATCGAAGATCATCAAAGCTGCGCGTCGCTCCGCTGCTGCTGTGTAAACGCTCGGTGGTAGTAGTATAGGATTATCAGATAAGTTTTTGTTCTTGTTTCTTTCTTTCTCCCATTAGTTAAATTTTAAGTTTGTGTTTCTGTGTTTGTATTTTTTTTTTCTCGTGTATTGTGTCCGAGTAATTTTGATTATCGTTGCAGTGGTAGAGCGTTTTTCGCTCCCACTAGTACGGCAAAAT